TTAAAAAATTAAATTCATTTGTGTTTCTTACCCACAATCCAAGAGACATATTCTACTGTAGATTTTCTGTCTGAAATCTAAGAGTCCAGTTTTAAATTTGTTCTGGATGAAAAGAATCGAAACAGTGTATTATTATTATTATTATTATTAATCCGCATCAGCAGCAAATGTTACCAAAGTGCTAACCAAATGACCCATTGTCCGCCCCACTCCCTGACGTTTGTTTCTTACCCACAATCCAAGAGACATATTCTACTGTAGATTTTCTGTCTGAAATCTAAGAGTCCAGTTTTAAATTTGTTCTGGATGAAAAGAATCGAAACAGTGTATTATTATTATTATTATTATTAATCCGCATCAGCAGCAAATGTTACCAAAGTGCTAACCAAATGACCCATTGTCCGCCCCACTCCCTGACGTTCTACTGCTTGTTCATCCATCCAAAGCCAATATTTGGAAGAAAGTCTATTTCGCGTCTGTGAAGTTCCCCAGGTCCCCAGCGCCAGGACCGACCGGAGCCACACTTTCTGGGATGACTTTCTTGTCTCTATCTTACTGCGGTGCCGGTGACACGCAGTCTAACACACAGCTGGCCTCTCCCTCCTCTTTCAGGTCTTTTCTCACTTTTCTGGCTGCTCTTTCTCAGTCTCGTGTTGGGAACCGATCTTCTCTGTAGTCTTCTCTAGCCTTGTTTTATTCTCCTCTCTGGAGGTAACCTTGTCTCCCACGGCTCTGCCATTGTTTCATGCTGCTTTCCCAGCCTTAGCTCTCTCTCTCTCTCCCTCTTTCCCCCATCCCTGGAGTGATGCGCCCTATCTTCTCCGAGAGGCAGTGTAGGCAGTCACAAAAAACATGGGCGCTTGTCCAAGTGAGTCCACACTGCCCTGGCCTCCTCCTATGTGACAAACCATTTGCCTCCTCTCTCCGTTTCCTTCCCACGCCCCTCTCTGTGCTGCGATTTCAGCGTGGCATGTCAGATGCGATGTCTGTGGTGAGGGAGGATGCTCATCCAGGCTTTCTGTTTTCACAGAGGATAAAGAACATCCGTTCCCTGCTGTCGCCTTACACCTTCCTCCCCACGATGATGCTCATCCAGGCTTTCTGTTTTCACAGAGGAGAAAGAACATCCTTTCCCTGCTGTCGCCTTACACCTTCCTCCCCACGAGGGGCAGTGACATCTGATGGCGGGGTTTGGGAGGAGGACCTCCTGGGCATGCGGTTCAGCCCTGCATGCTGACTTTCTGAATGCTGTGCCCACCCTCCCCTGCCCTGCCTGAGCAGGCGGCCTGTGGAGGGGAGGAGGGGCGGGGGTTTCCCTGTTCCATTTGAGACTGAGGGAGTAAGTTCAGTTGCAGAACCTAAAAAAAGTTCCATTAGGTAAAAATTTCCCAAGTAGCCTTTTCTCTCTGAAGTGTTCTGACTCTTATGTTTTATTTTCTAATTAGGCCCAAACTTGAAGGGGGTTTAGAACGGTGAGCATTTTCCATTGTCCCAGGACATGGTAAATGTGCAACACAGGTTGGCCACTTTTATTCTTCTCCTGTTTTTTTTTTTTTTTTGAGACAGGGTATCACTATGTAGTTGAGGCTGACCTGGAACTCATTGTGTAACCCAGGCTAGTCTCAAACTCACAGCGATCCTCCTGCCTCAGCCTCCCAAGGGCTAGGACAACAGGTGTGCATCACCACACCCGGCCTTCTGGTTTTTACTTCCAATATTTAATAGGTCCTCCTACTTAACTTTTAGCAGGTGATTTGCCATGAATGTCTTGCTTTCCTACAGAGTCCAGACCTATTTGAATAACCTTGAAAAGCTAGAGATAGTGTATCCTTCAGGAGAGAGTTAGGGACCTCCTGTCAGACCTATTAGGTCTAGAGAACTATTTCCCCAATTAGCAGAGAAAGGATCATGAATATGTTTAGTTTTATTGTATGATGCCAAACTGATTTAGAAAGTGATTACACCAACTGCTGCTCTCAGAGTACGAGAGATCCCATTTTCCCACATTCTAATCATTACTGTTATTGTCAGGTTTTTGTTTCTTTACTGACACCTCTCCCTAAATCTGGTAGATGAGCAACAGGATTTCCTTATTATTTGAATTTACCTGGTGGCCAGTGTGGTAGATTGCTTTTCTCTCTATTTATTGGCCACTTTAATATCCTTGGTGAAATGCCTAGCAATATCTTTTGTTCATTTATTTTTATTGTAAAAACACGTTGGATGTTGAATATTGGAGTGCAGAGTGTGATGTTATTCCCTCTGTGCTCGCTGTTGTAAGGATATTTTTAGGGTTTGCCACCTTGCATGACTGAGGTTCTGGACCCGAGGAGCGGCCCCCAGCAGCTAGAGCATGTGGCTTTTTTTTTTTTTTTTTTTGGTACCGGGGATCGAACTCGGGTCCTCGCGCTTGAGAGGCAGGCTGCAGAACCACTGAGCTAAATCCCCTGCCCGTGACATTTCTGTTTTAAGGCTAATGTGCTGCTGTCTACATATGCCACCTTTCCTTTCTCCGTTTGTCCACCAGGGGACATTGAGGTTGTATCCACTCCATGGCTGTTGTGAGCCATGTGAACTGTGTGAGTTGTCAGCCACAGGAGACTGTGACTGTCCTTCAAGACCCTGTGCCCAGTTCTTGTGGGTAAATAACCGGAAATGGGCTGCTGGATCTGCTGGTGGTTCTATTTTTAATTTTTTGAGGAACTGCCATGCTGTTTTCCGCAGCTGCTGCACCATTTGACACATCTACCAACCACACGGCTCTAATGTCTCCTCATCCTCACCAACACGTGCTATTTTCTGTTTTTGTGAGTTTGTTTTAAAACAATGACCATCTAACCGGCACAAGGAGAATGGGCACACATCATTGTGTTTTCACTTGCACTTACCTAATGATTGGTGACCTTGAACAACTTTCTGTATATTTGTTGACTGTGTATTTTCTTTTCTTTTTTTTTTTTTTTTTTTTTTGTGCTTGAGATTGAACTTGGGACCTTGTGCTTGTGAGGCAGGTGGCAGCAACATTGAGTTAAATCCCCGGCCTGGTGTATTTTCTTTTGAGAAAAGTCTGTTCAAGATTTTTGCCAATTTTAAAACAGAGGGAGAGAGAGAGAGAGGGAGGGAGGGAGAGATTGAGCCGTAGGGGGGGTTCCTTATATTTCGGATATTAACACCTCATCAGAGATATGGCGAGAGAGATATTTTCTCTTGTTCTTCAGGCTGCTATTCATTCTGGAGAGTGTTTCTCTGCTGTGCTCATGCATTTTCTTTGATGCATTCTCACTGCCTATTTTTATCTTGTTGCCTGTGCTTTTGGTGTCAGGTCTATGAAATCACTGTCAAGGCTAACACTACGAAGCTTTCCCCTTGTGTTTTCTTCTAAGAGTGTTGATCGTGCGCTTAAATCTTCATCCCATTTTGCATTAATTTTGTGTATGGTGTAAGAAAAGGGTTCCATTTCATAATTCTGTATGTGGATATCCGATTTCTCTAACACCACTTGTTGAAGAGGCTGTCTTTTCCTCAGTACATTATTTCAGCACTCTTGTGAAGGGCTGTTGATGTGTGGGTTTAGGTCTCTTCAGAAAACAACTCTTAGCTTTGTTGTTCTTAAAATTAATTTTCTTTTTCCCATTTTGCTTATTTCTGCTCTAACCTTTAATTTTCCTCCCTTCAACTAATTTTGGGCTTAGCTTTTTGTTCTTCTTTGTCTAGTTCCTTCAGGTGTTAACTTGGGTTGTTTATGATCTTTTTGACTATAGGTGTTCGCTGCTATAAGCTTCCTTGTTATGACTGGTTTTGTCTCATCTATAAGTTTTTGTATGTTGTGTTTCATTTTCATTTGCCTTAAGACATTTTCTACACTTCTCTTTTGATTTCCTCTTTGACCCATTGCATTGTCCAAGAGTGTATAGTTTCCCCATGTTTTAAATTTTTCTAGTTTTCCTTCTTTTGTAGTTTCATCCCAGTGTGGTCAGAAAAGACATTTGATACAATTTCACTCCTATTAAATATGTTAAAACTTGTTTTATGATGTAACAAGTGAATTATGCTGTAGAATATTCTGTTTGTTTGAGAAGAATGTGTATTCCACTAGTGTTGGATGGAATTTTCTATGTATGTTTGTTAGGCCTATTTTGTCTGTGACATTGTTCCTGACCTGACCCTTATTTAAAGCGAGGTACTGAAATCTTCTACTATTATTGTGTTGCTATCTGTTTCTTTCCACATTGTGTGTGTGTGTGTGTGTGTGTGTGTGTGCACTTGTGCATGTGCGCGCTTCCTGG